TCTTCTCTGCCTCTGAGGCCCTTTGTCCCAGTCCATCACAGTGACTTTATTTTCTCCACTAAGTGTTAAATAAATTAGGAGCTGTCGTCTCCTGACAGATGTTAGCCATCCTGGGACTGCTGCTCTGCAGTAAACCAGCCTGTGCTGGCTCGAGCCCCCACAGTGACACATTAAACCCAGTTCATTGGGTTAGATTTACTTAAGCTTGGTATCGATTAGACATTTGAAGTTGCAGTGCTTCCTAAATTAGCTTGATAGCTAAAAAAAAACCCCCATCTATTTATATTTTTGGACATGTATAAGGAGAGTGAATATTTGACTAACATTCAACCGGTGCCCTTAAACTTCCCTCCCAGAGATCATTTATATCGCGACTGTTTGTGGCTCGCTTTGGAGTATGGTTGTGCAAAGACAGGCGCAAATGTTTAGAAATGCGGGGGTTGCGTGTCGGGTACATTGTTCAGGGACAGGTGTGAATGCTCTGCGCTGTGGGGATGTAAGAGGTCTGGGGGTTTGTATAGTCTGTTCAGATTATTAAGTAGAGATCACTTTAGGCTAGCCACACAGTATTGTGTGTGTCGCATAAATAGACTTAATTTGCATTTAAATTATTTATACTTGAACATACTCTATGGCTCACAACTGATATTTCCATTTCAGTGACACCAGCCAAGGAGAGGTGTCGACTTAGGTGAGCATGACATCATTGATGCCGTCCAAAATGGAGAGCGTGACGTTGAGATGGAATTGGACACCAGTGATTCAAGTGATGAGGAGGTGGTTAGAAATGTTGATGAAGTGGACAAAGCGTATCGGACACCCACTGATTGTCCAACTGATGATGATGAGGACATCAAGCAAACCAGACCGAGCCAACCAACTAAACCGACTTTGCCCCAGGACCAGTATCACTGGCTGATTCAGGCACTGACTGAAAACACTAATCTGTACAGCTTTCAAAAGGCTGGAACAACTATTAACACAAACGCCAAGGGAATTGAAGAGGTGATTGGCATGTACCTGAAAATGGGATTAAAAAAAAAAGGATATTCCAATACTCTCGGCAGGAAGTGCAGTGTTCGTCTCTGCTTTGGGAATACCGTTACAAGTGGACGCTGGTTCTTTGACCAAGTTTTCACTCTATTTTGTTTGTAATGTTTTATGCAGATTTTTATTTTTAGTAAATTCTGATTCATAATAATAATAATAATGACTACTGAGTCATTATTGTTCACCATATTTAGGGTTACAGTGCTGTAGAAATAATCCGCACTGCAAACTAACCCATATTTGTTCTGACATTGTGACATTCTGCTGCCAACCAGGTTAAATACTTGTTTAAATAATAGGCCAGCTGCAGAAACATGGCCAAATAAAAATGCAGACAAAATATCTCTATGGGTCGTGTCCAGAAATGGGATTATTTTATTTAAACACGGCACGTCCAGCTGGGTGGAGGCCTCGGGGAAGACCCGGGACTAGATGGAGAGATTACAGTGGTCTGGGAACGCCGAGCTGATTAATGTGGCTTGGGAAAGAGAAGTTTGGGGTCCCCTGCTGGAGCTGCTGCTCCCGCGACCCGCGGTTGTTTTAATAAGCGGGTGAAGATGGATGGATAGAAATAACTTGTTTACATTATATTCTGCCACACTCTTCCTCAGCAGAGAATCCTTCTGCGTACATGCTTTAAATCTCAGCTTCAGTAAGAGACTTTTTCTTTCTGTCCTTTAAGCCACTTGCCCAGTTAACTCTCCTCACTCACATGTAAATGAGTTTCTGATGTCTGGGTATGTTTCATTAGCGCTCGTTCACAGGTTGGAATGTGGCTCAATAGAAATTTAAACCTGAATTGGGCGTCCATCTGCTTGGGAGTGTGTCACATCGGAGGCTAATCAATGACAAAAGAACATAGTTGAATGTTACACTTCTTACGCAATGTTTTTCTTAGCCGTGGGACGTGTTTAGGCTCACTACAAAGTGCACATCATGGGCTTCACTTTGGTGTGTAACTGTGTTGCTTGTATAGGTCAGACAAACGTAGCTCATGTATAAACCCTGAGCCCAGCTCATGTTTGATGTTTTAGTTTAGTTTAAAGAAATCCTTGCAGATTTTAAAATCTAAAACACGTGCGCAGAAAATAAGAAGCCACTATCTGAACATTTTAAGCACTTTTGGTGTTGGTATAAGTAACATCACTTTGTTTAAGTAATTTTCCAGCCACAGAAAATGGACAAGTAAAAACGCAGACACAAGCACAAGATCTTCAATGTGTTTTTCTTGGCTATGGGACGTGTTTAGGCTCACTACAAAGTGTAAATCGTGAGCTTTAATTTGGTGCATTACAGTATTGCATGTAATTCCAGCCCTGTTTGATGTTTTAGTTTGGTTTAAAGAAATCCTTGGAGATATTCAAATATAAAACACATGCATAGAAAATATGAGTCCACTGACTGAGTGTTGTAAGTTGTATTTTGTCAGATTTGTTGTTGGTAAACAAAACATCACTTTGTTTAAATAATAGACCAGCTGCAGAAACATGGACACATAAAATGCAGACGCGTCACATTCTGCCTGTCGGCTATGTTTAGTTTAGCTCTCTGTGGGTTTTTGATATTTTGATCAGTTCAGTATCTGTCTTATAGTGTTTGGGTTCTGTCCTGTGGCCAGTATCTCTATATAGTCTGTTGTGTTTTGGGTTTCACTCATGTCTGTCTTCTTGGTGTCCCAGCTCAGTGTTTTACTTCTGAGTCCTGTTTTATCTTAGCTTCAGTCTGTGTTCCTTGTTGGTGTTTATTTGTGATCTGTTTGCTGGTGTCTGTTCCCCAGTAATTCCTCTGCTTGCTTGTCCACTAAATACTTTGAGTTCCAGTTAATGTATGGTCTTGTGTTTTGCATCTGTGAGTGTCTCTCTCTGCCTCGTTGGCCCTGATGCCGGTCACCTGTGTTGCTCCCGCCCTGCTCGTTAGTCCCTGTGTTTAAATGTTTGGTGTTTCTGGTCATTGTGGTGTTTTGTAGTGTGTTCATTCAGTCATATGCGGCTGGTAGAGTGTTCAGTCTGCCTGTGTGGATCTTCCAGTCAACTGCCTGTAAGCTTGTTTTGCCTGTTGCTGTTGTGGATTAAAATCCCTGAACCTTGTCTCTGCCTTGGTGTCTTGCGTTTGAGCTCACCTCCTTTGCGCTCCTCCACAAATCCTGACAAGACGAATGATAATATCTCTAATGTGATTGTATTTAAACTGGATTAGAAATAACCTGTTTACAACTAAGCTTGTAAGTGACTTTTCCCCAAAACTGCAAGATCAAACAAAAAAAATGTTTGTTTTTTTACATTTAACTCACCAGTGTGCCAGGATATGTACAGCACGGAAGGGTTTTTACTTCTTATAAAGTAAACATGTTTCAATGGATATAGTGCTGTGGAGAAGATGATTTTACCAATGTTAAGTTAATTTAGTACAAAAGAAGCCGTCTCAGTAGCAACTTGTTTATAACTAACTTAAAATCTCAGTTTAAGCGACTTGTTCCCCAAAACTACAAGATCAATCAAAAGAAAAGCATTTTCTTACATTTAACTTACTTCATTTCAGATTTCTGATTCCCACTCATGCCAGGATATGGTAAGGGTTTTTATTTAGGCACAAAAGAAATTGGTTGCATTGATAAAGATGACAGTGCTGTGGAGAAAAACACTTGCAAAGATGATTTCACCAAAGAGGTCACTTAAAATTTTAAAACTAACTTAAGTTTACAGTAAAAACACAGGGCTTTTCTCAGGGCAGGTCACACTTATTAACACCCCATCTGAGCCTAACTGTGGGCGGGGCTGTCAGATAGGATGAGGCATATAAGCAAGGACCACCAGAAGCTTCAATTACACATCTCCTGGTTTGAAAAGTGTTCCTGTCTTCGCTGAAGATATCTCCTGCTTTGTTCCAGTGGATCTACTTTTTGACTGCTGAAGAATGGCTTCCAATGGGTAAGTTTAAGATCAGTATTATCTGCAGAAACTCTTGTAGGAAAGCTGTCGTGTGCAGTAACACTTGTTAAGTTTTTAATTAAGTGAAGAATGTCCTTTTCTGTTCCCAGTGTATCCAAGAGACTCCATATGCTGTGTCCTTTCTGCCGGAAGACCCAGAGAACCATGTCAACGCATCTACGCAGGGTCTGCATGAAGAACGGCTCGCAAGAAGCCATCGAGGCAGAGATGGAGAAGGCAAAGAGGGACGTTTGTGAACTTCTGGCAACTGGCAGGGTGTTTGAATACGCCTCCTTTGTCAGATTATGGACAGTGCTGATCCACTCAGCAGGTTGGTGGAGGAGCTTTTCAGTCCAATTCTCCATGTCTGAAACCTCTGTTGGATACAAGTGTCTAAATTATGGTTTTTTATTTAAATGACAGGCTAGTTGAGGAGCTGCACCGTCGCCATATGGTGGTGATTGATGTTCCTCCATCACTGCCCAATGTCCGGGCAAGGCCGACCACACGGTCCACCGCCCGGGAGCGCAGCTCCGGAGACTGACGAGGACGAGCAGTCCAAGAACGACTCTGTCTGCAGTGACGAAACCTTTCAACGGTGAGAATCTCAGTTTTACAACTTCACTGATGTTTGTTGTTGACGTTGAGTCATGTGAATCACAATGGAAGGAAAACACTGCTGTAAGAGAACTCTTTCCACATTGCAGGAACCCAGACATGAAGTTGACCAGGCAGCTCATGGCGGAGAGGGGCCTTTACAACAAGCACTCTCTGGAGCATCCGTTGCTGAAGGGGTTTGCCACGTACCTGGAGAAAGACCTCTACAATGAGAATTTTAAACAGGAGGTGAGGACAACTATGAAATACAAAAGTAAAACAATGTTTGAATATTTGCCAAATAGTCATAACAAGGTAGTTGAGCATGTTTTTTTTTTTTTTCTCTTCAGGTTGAAAATGTTGCTCGGTTCCTGTACTACATGGACCCGCAGTGTCCATCCCTGGACTTCGTCAGGAACAGGGAAAAGACAAAGGAGTACCTCCATGAGCTCTCCGAGGCAAACTGAAAACACAAACACAACTTAATTACCTCAATAGCTTGAAACGGTTGGTAGCATTTGGTGTTTATTTCCATATAATGTCACACATGTGTAGACAATACACTTAAATGAGCTTGAATCACGTGGTTACTTATTACTTGTACTTTCTCCGGCAGATTCCTAACATACCACACAGTCTACACCAACCTGAGGAATGAGGATGAGAAACTCCACGAGGACTGCCGACAATTTATTGAGTACACTGTGTCTCTGCTGAAAAGCTGCTCAGAGAAAGTGAGCAAAGAGATCACCCAAGCGAGGCAAGTTTAATTGTTTGCCCGTCCATTTAACTGGATAACAGAACACATTATCTGAGCAAAGTAAAGTTCTGGTTTGTTAATGTGTTTCTTCTTGTAGGCATGCCAAGCTGACAGAGAATTGCCAGCTGACTCCTCATGACTGCTTGGCTGTGTTGAGGGCTGCCAAGAGGGACTTCTTGTCCGTGATCAACAAAGTCTACCCAGACGACAGCTCCTCCCTGGAGAAGACTGAGTGCGGCCTTGTGGTGTACTACCTCGAGGCAGTGGTGCTCCTGAAACACCACCAACTACCAGGCGTGGTGGAGCACATGACTGTGAGTATTATTGTGCTCATTTTTTGTCTATATTGTAAATTTCAGCTGACATTCATGCCATTGCCCGTACTAACCAATGTGCTATCCTTGTTTTTATGCAGGTACAGGAGTGGGCTGCCCGAAAGCCAGACTCCTCTGGCAACAGAATCGTTGGCGTAAAGGAGCACAAGACAGCAGCACAGTTTGCCATGTTTGCCCTTTCACAGGAGGAGGAGTTGGTGAGTCAAATTTCCTGGTGCGCAGGTTAACTCGCCTTGCTGCAGCGACCCCATGCTGCATGTCATCACCTCTCTCTCTCCCACATTTCCTGTCTTTCTGTTTCAAAATAAAGTGAAACAAAAAAATAGTAAAGTAAAATTTTCCTTCACGTGAGAACCTGTTAAAAAGCTGTAAATACTCTTTATTCCTATTTCCCTGTGCCAACAGTGGTTTGAGATTTACTTCACACAGGTGAGGCCACTACTCCTGGAGTCCAAGAGGGTTAAGAGGAATGACACAGAAGGAGAAGATCGATTCTTCATCTCCACCACGGGAGGCCCATCTACAATGCCTCCAATGACCTGCACCGGCTGCAAACAAAGTAAGCTACCCATCACGATTCACCTCCCCTGCATTTCTGACACTGCTGTCTCAGCCGGGGTGAGTTAATCAATATTAACATACTGTTGAAACTTGTTTTAGATACAGAGTTAAGCCAGTGAGCAGCCAGTTGGCATGCAGGGTCTTCGAGGCGGCCTCCAAGTCTCTGGTGGCTGAGCAGGCTGGGTGACTCGAGGTAAGCATATTTTCCATTTGTCAACTGAATAAACTTTCAAACCCAAAATTTAGGCACACTGAAATCTAATGTTATGCTCTTCTTATTTATTTTATTTAGTGCTGAGCCGGCAGATGAGGGATCCAGTCATCCTACCCGGGGCTCTGCCGGCAATACTCCCCACAAGCCTGTCTACAGAACAAATGTGCACACCGATGTCGTTGCGGCATATGACCACTTTCTGGGAACGCACCCGGTGACTCTGGATGGGGACGTGCCAGATATGTCTCTGCGCTGTCAGTCATCCCGCCAGTTTCACAGAAAGCTGTACGAGCGTTGGCTGAAGGCTCAAATGAAACTGCGTGTGCAGCACGTTCTCTGTGAGTATTTATTTCTTACAGTGTTTTCCAACATTTGTTCTGTACATCGCACATGACGATAAAGTCTTGACTACACCCACCTTTTTAATTTTTCCTTGGCAGCATACTTTTGCCGACGCCTCCCGACAGAACACCGGGTCCGCT